TTGTCCACCCAGCTCTCCCTGCACAGGCATGGAGCTTCCCACACCAACTGCGAAGAAGCATGGTGCCTTTACTTCTCTTCATCCTACCTCTTTTGGGACTTCTTGAACATAAAAGTAAAGAGAATAGAAGTGAATCCATCTTTACAATGTGTTGCAAACACTTTTCAATAAGCTCTAACAGCATGAATATTTTTGAATTAAAATTATATTTTCATGCATAACTTTTATTTATTTTTGTTCCTCAAATTCATTTGGTTGTGTCTAAAAAAAAATCTCCCAATTTTCTCAATCAAGTTTTTAACTTCACAATGTCTAATCAATATCCATTATTTACCTAGAGATAAAAGTCAATTAAATTATACCACAGATTTTCACTATTCAATAGATACAATCTATGTTCTAAAAAGGTCAAATGAAAAGAGCTTTGGGTGTGGCTGGTGACAGGAGATTAAAGTGGAACCCAGAATTATTTAGCAAATTATAGCTTAAGAAAAATGTAAGAATTTAAAATAGAGAATTTTTGAGAAAGATAGTAGTTTTCTTATTCTTCCCACGACCAAAAGACCCCTAAGGGATTGCTAGGGGCAAAATAAAGGATTCTATTGCCTTTATGTATTGCAAAGAGTCCACAGGACACACCTGTGGAAAGTTAGAAGGGATATTGTTGAGCTTAGTTCTATCCTTAAATTCAGGTATAGAGCAGGGCCCTTTAAACTGAGGCTGACAGGCTTTAGCTAATGTTAACAGGCCATGAGTAGATATTGCCAAATTCATAAGTCTCTGTGTGACGTCATCCTCCCAACAAATTTCTGAAATGATGCCTTAGCAAACAAGCTCTTTCTGAGTAAAATGTTGAATCACTCAAAGGATACTGATTAGAAAGAGAGAGAGAAAAAAATTGCTCTGTGGGAGGGGCCAAGCTTTATAAAACCAGTCATCACCATGTCTGAATTCTAACAACTCTTGGAGGACCGTTTCCTGTCAGACAGCACCTCAGAGAATAGCAAGGTATTTCCATGACCATCTCTATGAACTCTGGTTTCATTGTTTCTCTTCTCTCATTCTAGTGTTACTAATATATTGAAATTTAAAATGTGGGACGTTTTCAGAGGATCAGTAAAAATTTAATGGTGCTTTCTTGTTTAGTTGTTTAACTGAAAATATTTTAGTAGTGCAAGATTTGAAATAAATTTATAGCCATTCAGCACTCCCAATAATGAATTCAGCAACAGAAGCTCTTTTGTAGCATGGCTATGATAGTTGTGTGTGTGTGTGTGTGTGTGTGTGTGTGTGTGTGTGGTGTGTGTCTTGATCTTGAATCTCAGAAGCCAGCAAATGCCTATGTAACATTTAGTAAACCAAAATATACACTAAAGTTGTGATGTTAATTTTGTTGAGTAGGTTAGAATATGTATATTCTTTAATAGCTAGTGTTTTGACACTGAATTTAATAAGAATAGCTAAGTTAATTAAAGTATATTCACTTAAGCAATTGAAAGTAATTTATCAATTGTACATACATATTTAAAAAATTAAAAGATGACTGAGTTTTTAATCTAAAATAATCAGAAATTAAGTAGCTTTCTGGGTTAGGTCAGATCAATACCAGAATATATCTATTGAATTTAGTTCAATATTTGGTCAATTTAGTGAAAGGGAAAAATCTGCCAAACTTGTTGTTGAATTCACTGAAGTAATAGTGCAATAAATAATTTTGTGCTCTGAAAACAGGCAATTATTCACTATGGAAGTCATCAAATAGCAGAAACCGTTTTTTATTTTGTGTGTATGGCGGGCGGCGAGGAAAGGGGGCATTTGGCTTTTTTGAACAGGAAATTTCCTTGGAATTATTATTTTCTTTGTCCTTGAGGATTTTTGTGGTCAATTTCAAACTATTTGCATTGTGTAGTCACAAAATTTTTTGTTTTAAATGCCACAGCAAGTTCAAATCTAATATCCAGTGCCAACATGAAGAGGTTCTGTGGTAGTGTGGCACCTCCCAAGTTCTTCATGACCTGTGCCAAGTTTCAGTGGCACATTTGTCAACTTGTGTAGCAGGAACTGCCACAAACATCATAGGGCCCCACCCAGCATGTGCTTTCCATCCTTCTTTTCAAGGATAATAGTAAACATGAATTATGAGCATAGCACTTAGGAGCTAATGAAGTTGTATAACTTACTCTTGTTAAGAAATTCACAACAGGTGCTACCTGTTCTGGGAGATAGTGCTATTTGATGTCACTTTGTGACTTTAATTTATATTGTCTTAGGCAGATTCCCACTCATATGTAAAATATAGAGTTGTCTGAGGGTCACGGACACTGTATATGTATGCCTTCAGAGATTTCTAAAACGATAAGCTTCTCAAGCCTTATGTAGGAAAAGCCCCCATTTTGCAATCAGAAGGCTGCGATTTAATTGAGGCTTCGAAACTGACTGGCTGTGCAATCTACATCTTCATATTTTCATCTGTATAACAGGAATTACTATGCTTTGCTGGGGACAAAATTATGCAAATTAAACAAAACAACTCAGTTGAAGAAATTTGGTAACTGAAATGTAGATATTAGATATAATTTTCATGTTAAATGCAGTTAATTGTACCTTATTTTGACAATAAAATTTTAATTCTTTTAAAAATAGGTAAATGCATTGGGGATCATTTAATTTTGTCCTTATCTCTTTTTTCCCCCACCTAAAATCCTAACTTGGCATTAATAGCCCTCTCTGATAGTTTCTCTTGATATTTAAATTTTGTTAGTGTCCAGGTGACCAACTCTGCAGGTTTTTATAAAAAATTGGCTACATTTACTTTTCTGGTTTTGACAACTTATTTGTTTTTCTTTTCACATGGGTTAAAGAAATTTTTTTTTTATTAATTATCAATTCATTTCCAAAATATTGAGATATTTTACAAAAAAATCTACCTAGTAAGATTATAAAGATACTTTAAAATCAGAAAATGGAAGAGGAAACACATTTCTGAGCCATTCAGATTAATCTAATCTCAGTGATGAAGCAAGAGAAAAAATATAGTAACTACCTTTTACTTAAAAAGCCTTCTAGGAGCATTACAAACTTACAAACTTCCTCTTTTTATTTCCTCTTTCTAGCATTTCTCAAGTGTGAAACTTGCCTAAACTCTTTTTAAAAAAATATATTTTTATTGATTTTAGAGAGGAAGGGAGGGGGATAGTACAGCCTCTGAGAGAGAATTATTGATCAGCTGCCTCCTGCATGCCCCTACTGAGGATTGAGCTCACAACCCAGGCATATGTTCTTGGCTGGAATCAAACCTGGGACCTTTCAGTCCACAGGCTGATGCTCTCTCCACTGAGCCAAACTGTCTAGGGCCTTACCTAAACTCTTACACTGTAGAGTGAAGTTGAACAGCAACAGGTGAGGCAGTGTGGCATATTGTATAGAGTGGGTTTCTGAAACATACCTAGTCTTGAATCCCTACATACACACTGTGTGACCTTATACAAGTTAGTTAACCCCGCAGAGCATCAGGATGGAACCTATACTCTCATGAAGATCATAGTATCTGCCTCATAGAGATCCTGTGAAGATAAAATGAGAAGAGGTGAGGGAGTTTCAGAGACAAGTTTTACTTAATTTACTATTTTGTCTCGATAACATACAATCAGGTGGTGTTTCAAATGAGAAATGTTGATACAAAGTGAAATCACCTTAAAAAGAAATGTTCCTGACACAAGTGTTCACAAAAGACATCCATCGATAAGGCAGAGAAGCGAGTGCTGGCCCGGGTTGGGAAGCCCTGCTGAATGAGCCTAGGTGAGAGCCGCAGGGCATGCCTCAGCTTGTGGGCCTCCCAGCTCCTCCCCAGCTCTGGGAAACCACTTCCACAAGACAGTTTCCTGTGGAATAATGAGTGTCAGTGTAGTTCGGTATACATATATTTTGGTAATTGTAGGGTGTGTTATAAGCCATTATGAAAGCATAACATGCAGCCAGAGAGAAGACCATTGGCCAGTACCCACAGATACTCCCACACATCTGGGCATGTCCAAGCATTTGGCTGCATGGGAAGGCTTTGGTCCTGGAAGGTGTGTCTGTCATTTTTCTTCAGATGGTTGATCTGGTGAGTGTGTGTGTGTGTGTGTGTGTGTGTGTGTGTGTGTGTGATATCCAGGATCATTCCTACAGTGCTACCTTCATTGAAAGTATAGGTTCCATCCTGATGCTCAGGGAGGTTAACTAACTTGTATAAGGTTACACAGTGTGTATGGCATTGACTTTGTTGCTAGCATGAAACATGAGAGGAAAGGAGCCTTCCCAGCACTTCTAATAATGAACTCAGCTATGGAAGCTCTTTGTAGCAAGGCTGTGATAGTTGTGTCTGTGTGTGTGGTGTGTATTTGCAGGTGTATCATAAAGGTTGAGAGCATGACCCTGGAGGCCACCCATCTGACTTCAATTCCTAGTCAGGCGACATTGTTTTTTTTTAATTTTCTCTGTGCAGGAGTTTCTTCCTTCCTAAAAGAGGAATTAGGGTTTCCTTGTAGGGTTTCAGTAAGTACAAAATGGCTAGTACAGGTAAAATATTTCGAACAGACTATCTTTCATAGTAAGACTCAGTAAGTGTGATTTATTGTTATTGCTGTTATTATTATTATTATATGAAGTATCACTACTCATCATTAAGACTGTTCACTACATCTCAGGATTGGCTGTAAAATTTGCAGCATCCAACACAAAAGGAAAATGTAGAGCCTATTGTTTAAACTTATTGAGAATTTCAAGATGGTAACATCACAGTCTTGCACGAAGCTTGGGGCCCATATGGCTGCATGAGTTACATGACCCTAATGCTGTGCCTGCTCTACTTTTTATTGTTTCATGAAGGCAGAACAGAGAGGAAGCCCCTACCCTGTGCAGAGTACAGCCTGTACTACACCTCTGATGACATCACCCAAAATGTTGTCTCATTTTTTAGAGCTGTGTGTTCTTCCTCACTTTCATTCTAGATTGAAACAATGGAAGACATTTATGTGGCAAACACAATTTTTGCCATAAATTTCTTCAAGCATCTGGCAAATACAAGCACCACCCAGAATCTCTTCTTCTCTCCATGGGGCATCTCATCCACCATGGTAATGGTCTACCTGGGTGCCAAAGGCAACACTGCAGACCAGATGGCAAAGGTAAGTTTCTGTTGAAGCTCCAAATAAGAACTGAATGATTCCTGAACCAAAGTGTAGAATTGCTCTGAGTATGGGCTTGCGATATCCTGACAATCTCAAGGTCAGCAATCATCACCTGCTATTACAACATTAGTTCCTTAGATTCAAATCTACAAAATAGGCAAATCATGAACCACTGACTGTAGATAGCAGAAGGCATATAGTAGTTTCTTCTATTGCAGGGCTGCAAGTGATAAATACTGACAACATCTTACATTATAATATTCTAATGTTTGAAAGTGTTCTGCATTCTTTATATCTCTTTTGTGTTTGTTGCTTATTAATGGAATTAATTACTCCTAATAGTTTTAAGGGAGTGTCACAAAAGAAAAGAATGTCCCAGGGCAGTGGTCACTACACTCGTGGAGACACAAGGAGAGCAATGTTGACTCATGTTATCAGCCCCGTGAAATCATGTTAGCAAAATGATGCCTGGCCTGATGGTCAGTCTTCAAAATCAAGATTGTCAGGATGTCCAGCAGCTGGTTTCCTTCCTGAGCGAATGGACACAAGCTCAGCCAGGGGACCCTTTTACTGAGTCTAGGGCCTTAAAAATAGATTGGCTACTTCAATTTCACATTGCAATACTCCTATGGGATGAATTCAACACATTGAGAATTCACATGATCCTATTATCTCCTAGGTCAGTGACACAGACGAGATCATCCTATAATTAAAATTCTTTTACACACACATGTACATGAACATCAACATTGAATGCTCTGGTTTCTCACAGGCACATATTGTGCTTTCAGTCACACCAAAATGCCGCTGGCTGCTTTGGGGTTTCCCGTGAGAATTGCACCTGAGTGTGTATATATCCTTCCCAAGTACACAGTGACCCATTTAGAATGGACCTTGTTTGAAGGGTGAGAGTGTTGGCCAATGTCCTCGCAAGAGGAAAGGGATATAGCTGCATCCCGCCTATGTTTGTGGCAGTTAAAATATCAAGACTTACAACAAAACTCAATTTGCTCAACTCTGATGCCAGCAACATTTTGCAACCCTTCTTCCCCTTTATTTTCTTTGCCTTGAAAAAATAAAAACAGTAAACTGCACAACTTTAGAGCACATCAGGGTCTTAATTTTTTTAAAGTAAAGAAATCACTAGCCCTCTGAGGCAATATATTTTGAGGGTGTCTGTTAAATAAAGTACTTTAAGTTGTTAAAATAAAGCCATTAATTTTGATACCAAAAGAAAATTAGCTTATGGGTTGCACTGGGCACAAGACAGTTTCTCTGTACCTGGAAAGTGCTTAAGCACATGGGACTATGCCAAGATTTTAAATCATTTTTTTTTGTTATTCTGCTGTATGTACAGGTTTTAAAATTCAAAAGCAAATTTGGTTAATTTCCTACTTAAAGCAAGAGGAGAAGCTCTTTGGCTTGGAGGAAGGAGCACAAACTTTGGGAACAAGACTTATCTGTGTTTAAAATGGTGGCTTTGCCAGGGTTTATGAGGTGTATGAATGAAGGCATTGAAGGTCTCAGAGCCTAGAGACTAATGAGTAGTATATATATTAGTATAAGATACATCATACTGATTCCTGGGAGGGAAATTTAAGTTGACTGACACATATTACATATAAAGGTATCTGTGCTTGTATCCCATATACAATGATAGGGAATTAGGCATCAGGCCACTAAGAGGTACCTGTTGGCAATGGTTTAAAAGTTAAGTAATTTATCAGGAAAATGTAATGCAATCATTCCCTCTAATTTCAATTGTAGGTGCTTCAGTTTAAGAATATTGGAGTCCCTGAAGTGACCCCAATGACCCCAGAGAATGACACCAGCTGTGAGCTCATGCAGCAAATGCAGGTCACTTATCCTGATGCTATTTTGAAGGTATCTGACTCATTCATTCATATTTCTTTTGTATTTTATTTCTAAAATCTATTTGTCTTAAAGTCATGACATTAGACTAAGAAGGAACCTGGTACAGAACCTTTCCACTTCCAAAAAAAAAAAAAAAAAAGACTCAGAATCCTTAAGTAACTATTCTAGCTAAGGTTTCACTGCTAAAAAAGGACAGAGCCAGAGCAGAATCCGAACTTCCTGACCTCTAGGCCAAGACTCTTTCTAAATTATGTCACACCACCCTGCCTTTAGTTGGGTTTGTGTAATTTATTCTAAAACTATGGTAGAGAGACTCCTAGGATACACAATGATGAATGCAGACTTCCAGTGGAGAAAGGATAAGGAGTGACAAATAGTTGAGGAATAAAGAAGGTCAGGCTCAATGAGTTCATAAGAAGTCAGTGATCTTTATATATCCCCTGTATCTATCTATCTATCTATCTATCTATCTATCTATCTATCTATCTATCTATCTATCTATCCATCCATCTATCTCAGGTAGTCTGATCTTTTTTCAGTACTCCAATCTTTAATTATCAGCTGTCCAGTTGAGTTATAGGAACAAACACAGATGTGTTGCTATTGGTAACTAACTTCCATAATTACACTCCTGAGAAAGGTTATGTGGCTATATCTCCCATAGTTTTTTGGCTATTACAGAGGGAATTGTGGGCTAAAGGAGGTGGAGAGGGCCCAAATACTATAAAGATCCAGCTGGGTCTCTGGAGACAGCTGTCAGCCACATGTCCATCATCCTGTTTACAAACTTTAGGTAAAGCTCTATGACACGTGACTGAATATTGCATTGTGAGTCCATCACCCGAAATCAAATAATCTCTTGTAAAGTAACATTTGTAAAGTAACACTTTAATATAAAAATTCTTTAGAGACTTTAAGGTTTACAAAAATAGAAGAAGCCCCACTTTCTTCTAGGATGTTGCTTATTTCATAGTGAAATTCAATCTATGGACAAAGTAATGGAATGTACAGTAAAACATTATCTTATATGTTTTTGCTCCATATAAAAAGTATTTGCTCAAATATTCCTCTTAAGTGCCAGAAAAAGTATATGTTAATGTAGTATTTTATTATTATATAGAAAAAACACCATTGATTAAGAAATATCTTACTTAGCAGTCCCATGTTATATAAAGAGGATCTCTCCTTTCTGTTCAAGGTACAAGCTGAAAACACAATCCATTCCGGCTTCCATGCTCTCATCTCTGCTATCAATGAGACCAAGGGGGGTTACATATTGGAAAGTGCCAATAAGCTGTTTGGAGAGAAGACTGCACAATTCAGGGAGGTAAGTACAGCCTGTTGTTGAAATGCAGGGGCCTAAACTCGCCGTGAGGTCACTTTTAAAGCTGTTCTCTAGGATTCATGTTTGTAGGGAAAGTCAGAATTGCACAGGGCTCCCTAAGGCTCTCTAAGGCTCCCTGAGGCCTTGGCAGTGTCCCTGTGCTCTTCCTGTTGGTGCTTCTCTACCTGCTGAGAAAGTAGAGAAGTCAGGAGGAACACAACTGACTTCCAGAGTCACTATCTTCAAGGTCCAGCTTCTTCTTATTTGCTGTCTATAATGTGAACAATGCGGGAGGACAAATAGTATTGGGACTGGAGTGTGGGGAAGGAGGTCCACTAAGTGCTTATAATCTGCATCATTTTCTTTTTTAGCAACATCCCCCATACTCAATCTCTACCCCCACTGCACCCCAACCTCAAGCCCTCCAGTCTTGACAGGAAGCCCATAATTCACAATTGCACCAAGGCTTGTTCAGCATATATTCTATGTAACTTTCTGCACTTTTCTGCTTTAAAGGAATACATCCGACTCTCTAAGAAATATTACTCTACAGAACCCCAGGAAGTTGACTTCTTAGAATGTGCAGAAGGAGCCAGAAAAAAGATTAATTTCTGGGTCGAGACTCAAACAAAAGGTAAAACCAAGGAAACATTTTCTGTTCTTTCCACTTAGAAAATTGAATCTATTTTTTAAAACCATTCTTGAATTTAGTCCTTAATCCCTTAAAATTCATTCAACCCTAGTTATTTTGGTTAATGTAACCTTATTCTTATTTAGATTAGTGGGTGTTTTAATTGAGGGCTACTAATAGAAGACGTGTTTAATACTCAAATAATTGGATTTTTGATATTACATTAGAATAGAATATGACAGATGGCAGATGTTTTCAAATATAGAAAACATCAGGATTGAAATAATTTTTGTGACACTCCACCAACTATGAACAAAAGAATGACAGAAAAAAAGGATTTTCTTAACTTCTTGGATTAAAACATCATTTCCATCAATAATTTTGTGTCTTGATTGCTTAGCTACCATCACAGGGGGAAAAACACATGAACTAAGTGTTATAGAATTTAAAATATTTTTATCTCTCTGAAAGTAGTTGATCTATTTATATTACTTCTCAATTTCCATTCTGGATTTTTAAACCACTGTTCAAACTGCTGCCACAAAGGGGATGGGAAAAGTGAAGATTAAAGAAGTGAAAGTAAAAATGAAGTGCAAAATTAAAGACACTTGAATGTTATGTCTTTTGAGAAAAGCATAAATTTTCTCTTTAAGCATTATGCCAAATGGCTGTAAATAAATATCAGTTGTATTGCTAAAATGCCAAGGAGTAATTGGGGCTGATTGTTTTACCAAATTTTATAATAATTTGAGAGAATTTTCTGTTTTATTTCTTATGATCAAACACTAGTTTTGTCACATGCACCATAAAGTTAAATAAAACGTTAGTAGATTTCAATAGCAATCAAGAATTTTAATTGCTTGGGGAATGTATTGAGTGGAGATATTGAACTGGTCAGAATAAAGTGACCTTTTTATTAGTCTTTTTTCTGTCAGTAGTACTGAAGGGTGGAGGACAGTGGAGACAGAATCCTAACTAGCTTTACCAATATTGTAGTCTTGAGAAGATTATTAACATCTCTCACAATGGTGTTCTTTTGTGTAAAATGGCACTCATATTCACCTAATAGAGTAGTTGTGAGGATTAAATAAAATAATGTATTTAGTGGTTGAAATAATGCAGAGAAATATTCACTATAATGCGCTATTTCTTAAACAACTTTAAAAAAAGCTATCATTCTCAGATTTTTTACATTTCTGAGAACCTTCTCTAACTCACTCTGTTATTTCCTTCTCCTTTTTTGTCATAGTACTATGCATCATTTAGCTCTATTATATAATTTATCACACATTTTTTTCAGAACTTATTTTGAATGTCATTCCATTAGGACATTCAGGACATTTCCTCCTTGCTCAGCTCATGAATCTGCATTACACTTTGTATAGGTAGAGTCCAAACTTCCAAAAAAATTGTCTTGAGTGAATCAATGGGTCAGACCCATAAACTGTCTAGACCAGATCTAATAGGAGCAGGATGTGACATAATGTGGAAAGACACTATTATCTTCCTTAAGAGACTATATTTTATTTCCAATGGAATTAAATAACTTTATGCAACTGTAAAATTTGAGAAAACAATATGAAAGGAAGTAAAAATATTCACTAAAAATTTGATAGTAATTCTAAAATTTAAATGCATTACTTCCTCATTTTCCCTTGAATTTTGAAAACCTTCTGAGGAATTTGCTCTAATTTTTACTTATGCTTTAAATAAATCAAGAGAAAAACTTGATCTTGAAGATCAGTATCTCTGTAGAGTTTGCCAATGTGTCTTCTGAGTTAAATGACAACACAAAAGATTCAACCAATTATAGCAATTTCACAGTTTTTGATCATGAGACCTAAACAGACATCTTTTTCTTTCTTTCTTTTTTTTCTTTGTAGGTCAAATTTCAAACTTGTTACCCAAAGGTTCTGTAGATTCAGACACTCGGATGGTCCTGGTGAATGCTGTCTACTTCAAAGGAAAATGGAAAACTCCATTTGAGAAGAAATTAAGTGGACTTTATCCTTTCCGTGTGAACTCGGTATGAGACAACAAGACAAATTTTCCTAACATATATTGTAGGATCTTAGACAAGACAGAGAAAGAAAAAATATAGACCACTTGTTAATGCACTACATGATGTGCTAGTTATAACTTATGGACATTGGATAGTTGATTAACTCTTTCGAGCTACTGAATACAACTCAGTAATTTTATGAGATCATATGAGAAATGATGAAAAACCATGGGCTTTATTCTTAAATCCTAGACTCGAATGTAGGCTCTAACATTTATGTTCCATGAATTCCATTTTCTAATCAGCAAAACTTGGATAATAATAATATTAAACTCCAAGAATTACTGTAAGGATTCAATGAGGTTTAGCATAGTTTTTGGCCCATGATAGGTACTAAACAAATGTTTTAGTATTATTATTATTGTCCATAATGGGTATAATCTTGAAAAGGGTAATAAAATTAGAATATTGTATACAATTTATTTTGTTGATTTAAAAATATATTTCTTAAACACTAAAGCAGAACCCATTCTCTTTTATGTTAAATTGTAAGTCTCTTGATATATTCGTATTAACTTTCATATTTTACTCTTTCATAACTTTAGACTCAGCGTAAATCTGTACAGATGATGTACTTGCATGAAAAACTGAACATTGGATACATAGAAGACCTAAAGGTTCAGATTCTAGAACTTCCATATGCTGGAGATGTCAGCATGTTCATATTGCTTCCAGATGAAATTGCTAATGTGTCTACTGGCTTGGAGTTGGTAAGCCATTCCAACTTTAGTTGTTTTAGACTTATAGAACTAAACTTGCTTTTTATGATGAACATGTATACACCTTAGGAAATCATGTGCAATTTCTTACATGAATATGTGAATTGGTTGACAGTAAGTGTGGCTTGTCTCAAATGTTCATTCATTTTATGTCATACCTATTACCTTCTTGCAAAAACTTTACCAATCTATTAAACTTTTATATCACCCACATTGTAGTAACGTTAAAGTCACTGATTTTTAACATTACACTTAGAAGTTGTTTTCCTTCTTTTCTAAGCACTCACTGTGTTTTTGTTTTTAATTTTCGGATTTGTAGCTGGAACGTGAACTAACTTATGACAATCTCAACAAGTGGATCAGCAAAGACACAATGGCAGAAGATGATGTTGAGGTGTATATCCCCCAGTTCAAATTAGAAGAGCGCTATGAACTCAAACCCATTCTGAGAAGCATGGGCATGAATGATGCCTTCGTCAAGGGCCAGGCCAACTTCTTAGGAATGTCGGAAGGAGAGGAACTGTTTCTCGCGGAAGTGTTTCACCAGGCCACTGTGGATGTCAATGAGGAGGGCACTGAAGCATCTGCTGGAACCGGGGCTATCATGTCAGGGAGAACCGGTCATGGAGGCCCACAGTTTGTGGCTGATCATCCTTTCCTCTTCTTTATAATGCACAAAACAGCTAAAACCATTCTCTTTTTTGGCAGATTTGTCTCACCCTAAAAGTGGAAGTTTCTGTTTCTGTACAGAACTTTGTAGCATGAGGTATAAGCCTCAGAATTGCTGTAATTACCAAAAATGTAGGGACTTTTTCTATGTGTTTCTAAACAATTTCTACTACACACTAAATATAAATACAGAACTAACCAGACAACTGTCAATCGTAATATTGCAACCCTATTAATTGGTCTCCTAAAATGGGATGATGTTGAATTTAGTTCTCCCTTATTCTTTATTTTATAGCATTAAGTTTTATTGTATTATTTATTATTTTATATAATTTTATTATTGTTAGCTGTCTATTTAATGTAGCTGATACAGTTACAGAAAACAGGTGATCAGTTATGTTTCTTTCTAAGGAAGTACATTTATTTGTTTTTGTGAGGAAGGATGAGTAGGTGTCTTTCCATACCCTTCTATGATGAAAACCTAGAAGATTGCATTGAACAATAAGCAAATATACATTATGTACATTTGTAACATTATATATCACATAGATGTGACTGTCAATGATGTAAGGTTACAAATACAAAATAAATAAATATGTTTCCACACAATCATTTGCTTGTTGCTATTTTATTAGATCTTTGGATCATAAGACTTGTTATAGTTTGATTCCCAAGACAGAATAAAGGAGCCAAAGAGATAAACACCACTTTTACACAGAGCCCCACTCTTGGGATTGAAAGTAGTTGTGTGAAAAATGGTTTAGAGCTGCCTTTTCAAGGCAGCAAAAGGTATAGCAATTCAGAGGAATAGTCAGCATTCTTTGGACGCTGGTGTTTAAACCTCAAAAAATTGAGAATAAATGCCAAATCCAGTGGTTCATATATAGGATCAAGGTCACAGTAATTGATCTGATTACTGTGTTCAAAGGAGTTAAGATGGGTTGGTGGCAGAGCAGGAGTAGAAATACAAGAGACCTTCTTTAAAAAATATTTTTATTGATTTCAAAGAGGAAGGGAAAGGGAGAGAGAGATAAACACATCAATTCTGAGAGAGAAAATTTGATCATCTGCATCCTGCACACCCTACACTGGGGAATGCCCCACAATGGGGATTGAGCCTGCAACCTGGGTTTATTGCCTGACTGAAAATTGGACTGTGACTTTGTGGTGCATAGGTTGATTCTCAACCACTGAGTCACACCAGTCAGGAGAGCTTTTTTTAATGGTGTTTGTTCCAAATAGCACTCAATACTTTGAGTGAGTTAGAGGTAGAACTTAACATAATTTAAAACCTAGAAACTAAGACACCTAAAGTTTAGGGAGTCCAAACTGGCTTGAGAGTCTGCTTACAGAAGTGTGGCTGGATGTTGGAAATGTACCCCAAGTACATTTGAGGAAGGAAGGCAGGGGTGATGACCCATGGAGCATGGTAGCTAGATAGGCCACTTCAAGACTGACCATATGCAGTTAAATCCTAGTTCTAACACTTTTGAGTTCTCTAACAAAGGATGGCGAATGGTGTTTTGTTATGCTTCTTTTCTTTCAGTGTAAACTATAGAAAATAATTTTCTTATAAGGTTGTTATACTGGTTAAATGAATTCATGCATAATAAGCAATTAAAATAATTTTTGGCTCATACAGTATTTAAAAATACTAGTGATTATGATTATTACCTTTGTAAGTAATAAACTGCCTCTGGTTTTATTTACTTACTGTCAGCTGATCAAACAGAATCTCAGAAAATTATTCACTTAAATAATTTTTAAGGCTTTAATTGTGGTTTATTTTCTCTAACTAAGACATTCTTGAAAATTAGAGGTTCTTACTTTGTGCATTCTCTCATTTACTTTTAGATTCATTTGTCTATGTACTTTCATAATTCATTCAGCAAGGCAATTCGCTTTGAGTCTTAAGATAGCCATATTGCATGGTCATTATTGAATTAGGGTCTGAGTGTGGAATTCTAAGTTCAAAACACTTTTCAGTACTTTAGGGTATAATTTTATTATTTTCTGGCACCGAAGTTGCTGATGGGAAAGTTGAGGTCAAGATCATCCTTACTCCTTGTATTTCTAGTAATTTTCTTTTTGTTCTTGACAATGTTCTTGAAATTTTGCTGCATTGAGTACTTTTTAAAATGGGTTTTAAAAATTAATTTTGGCTGAAACCGGTTTGGCTCAGTAGATAGAGCATCGGCCTGCAGACTGAAAGGTCCCGGGTTCCATTCTGTACCTTGGTTGCAGGCACATCCCCAGTAGGGAGTGTGCAAGAGGCAGCTGATCGATGATTCTCCCTCATCCATGTTTCTAACTCTCTATCCCTCTCTCTTCCTCTCTGTAAAAAAAAATCAATAAAATATATTAAAAAAAAATAAAAAATAAAAAATAATCTTGTTCATCAGCAGCTTTATTCCTCTTGGAAACTTGTATCTTGCTTCAGTTCTGGCAAACTCTCAGCCATTGCTATGATCTGAATGTTGTGTCCTCCCCACCCCCATACTATGTGGAAATTCTAACTCTCAATGTAATGGTATTTAGATGTAGGGCATTTGAGAGTTAGGGTTAAATTAGGTCATGAGGGTGAAGTCCTTATGATGTAATTGGTGCCCTTATAAGGAGATGAAGAGAACAGAGCTTGCTGTCTCCACCAGGTGAGGACATGGAGAGGAGACAGCTATCTGTGAACCAAGAAGATAGCCCTCACCAAGAACTCAAATACCAGTGCCCTGATCTTCAGGCTCCAGAACAGTCAGAGATACTCTTGTTTAAGCCTTCCAGTCAATGGTATTCTGTTATAGCAACACAATCTGAATAAGACAGCTATTAACCCCTCAATTGTCTCTGCCCCACTCCATCTACTTTCTTTTTCTGGACTCCTATTAGAATAATATTGATTTACTTGGAGTTCTTTTGCTTCTTTTCTTTTCTTTATTTTATTTTTAGTTTTTGGTATAATGAACGAATTTATATTGTCTAAAAATCAAATATAAAAAGACGAACAAAAACTCTCCCTTCCACTCCCCCTTCCTTATTCAATAAGATCCTCTCCCTCCACCCCCCTAATAATCTGTGCACATTGCTAAATAAAGGGCAGGCCATAAATAAGAACAACAAACTAATAAAATCATGCAAATAATATTACATTATTAACTTAGGATACTAATACTTCTTCTCCCACCCTCTAAACAGTCATCAGAATAGTGCACAACCATGTTGTTGTTTTTTTAATGTAGGTAATCTATTTGTAAGAATTTTAGTCAAAGGGTAAGTGAGAAAGGAATCTGGTAAAGATTTGGGGGAAAATAAGTAAAACTTAGCCTGTGACTTTAAAGAGATGGAACAATTTCTTGGCTGTTTCAGCCACATCTACTCTGATACATTTAATGGATGAAAACTGAAGTGTCTTCATGTTGTACCGAGAGGCAGCGCAAGTCGCTCACTGGTGGGCTACTGTCTATCAAGATGGACAGTCCCTCTATCTAGGGCCTCCATATGATATTGTAGCTACGAGTAGTCTGGAGGCATCCATAGATAATAATATCTGTTCAGCACACGGCAAGCAGGCATCACAGAACTTCCTATCACAACTCACACTCCCTAGTGAACTCCAGAGGAACATTCTGCTCTAGGTTCCACACCAGCCTTCAAATACCAAACTCTGAGCCAGTTTACCAGAACGTATGTGTGCCCCTAGGCAGGGAAAAATAAAAACCGCATGCAGGAAAATGTGCCAAGTCCATTATAAATAAGCTCCTCCTTTCCTTTCATCCCTTTTGGATTGTTCCTCCATTCCCACCTCTCCCTTCACTGTCTCCTGCATTCCCCCAAGCTATGCAGCTGTGATAGAAAACAAAACTGTAGCCTATTGTTTCCAATAAATATGGTGGAGAAGTGAGGGGAACATTTATAAGGAGAAACAAAAGAGAACTAGAAACTGATGAAGCAACACCAGACTAAGTAACTGATCCAGACCCCTGTGCCTGGGGCACGGAGATGGACATCCCACTCATCGTAGTTATTCTCGGTTTTCTACACCAACATAAGTGGGAAGAGGTGCTTTCACAGTAAATACTTCACCAGTTACATTTTCATTTTATTGTCCATTGATATCCCACTAATTTGAGGCTTCCTTCCTTCCTTCCTTCCTTCCTTCCTTCCTTCCTTCCTTCCTTCCTTCCTTCCTTCCTTCCTTTCTTTCTTTCTTTCTTTCTTTCTTTCTTTCTTTCTTTCTTTCTTTCTTTCTTTCTTTCTTTCTTTCTTTCTTTCTTTCTTTCTTTCTTTCATTTCTTCTTTCTTTCTTTTTTTTCTTAAGAAGAATCACTCTAATTACTTCCATTTGGCAGATCAGAGAAGAGATTAAGTAAGGAAACTGTGAGTTACAGTTTGTCAGAATTCAGGTCTCCACATGTGGACAGACATGGAAAATGTGAGTAATTAAAGAATGCAGGCAAAACCTTGCTCATCAGTTTCTCTGTCTTTTGATTTGAGCTTCTGGCCATGATGAACCTGAGAGGAAGAGTGTAAGGGCTTATGAAAGTGAATCAAAAGGGTGGGGCGAAGAAGAGGGAGGTGTAACCATTTTTTTTTTTTTTTTTAAAGTTCCTACAGTTAAAAGTTACTTAACTCAGCCACAATTTCTTACTTTAGGAACAAATTTCCACTTCTGCTCCAGGGGAAGAAAACAAGGTATTGTAAATACTTCTTTGTTTAAAAATGTTTATTTATGTTTTCCTTCTTTGTTGAAGTGCCTAGCTCAATAACAAATGATCAAGAGCCCCAGAAACAGAAATAGTAAATAGAGCTCCATTTAGCTGGAATTCTGTGCAAATCAGAGAGATTTAATCCCAAACTGGTTCAACGTTTCTACTGGAAAGACGGCTAAGGGGGAGAGAGCATTCATTTTTCAAAGAAAGCTAGAAAAATAGTTTTTTCAGGATTGTGAAACTATGAATGGAGTTTTTTTGTTTGTTTTGTTTTTTTTTTTTTTTTTCAGTCACATTTGCTACTTCTGTATCTATCATCCTAGGCAGAGAAATAGAACCTTCTCAGAATAACTGAGCCCAAATCATTCACTTGGCAACATGAATTTGATCTTAGTCATTAATATGTGGGACTAATAGCTTGACTCTCTACACTCCTGTCTTGGCCACCATTCCATGAGCCATTAACTTTCTTCTCTTTCATCAAATAATATAAATCCCTCCCCAAATCGCAAGCTTATACTAGGTGCTCATAAAACACCCCAAGCTATTACTTCCTTGGGAAAACAGCATTGGGTGGACATAGATGTGATGGGTGGTGTAAAAATGTCACCTTCTGATATGCTCAATTCCATGAAGTAGATGAAACCATCGTCAGGATCATGAGGAAGTCAAGGGACTTTTGACCTCCTCTTGTGGAAAAGGGCATGGGACTCCTTCCCATGCCATCTTCCTCCTCATCATTCCTCTTTTTACCCTCCTTTTGTCCATCTTCTTTCATAACCTGATTGCCTGATTTACTATTAAAATCTTAGCGACAATGAAATACAATGACAAAAGCAAGTGTATTCAGAAGCCAGAAAATGGGATTGTAGTGATAACTCTGCTATGAGATAGCTGTACCTGCTGTTCAGCCCATTTAACCTCTCTGGGCCTTAGTTTCCTAGCTGACAAAATGAGATAATTGAATTAGAGGGATTGTGAAATTCTTCCCAATTCTGATATGCAAGAGTATGTGTATTTACAATGAGACATTTTGATGAAAGACATACTCATTTTCTTATTTTCATAGTTCTCTAGATTATCCTCTAAGTCCCTTTACAGATTGAGCAAAAGAGCATTTCATTCTGAAAAAGGCATAGTAGGCTTCTGATTTAGAGATTTATAGTCTTCTCAAAAAAAAAAAATGTACAACCTTTATATGGACTATTTCCTATAAAATTGCATCATGAAATTTCATATTCTTCAGAAAATACTTTCTACTGTTGGGTTAAATTTTACTAATGACTGGCTTAGCAATTCTGTAGATTTCTGTGAAAAAATATTTTTCTGTTGTATATGAGCTAACATATATGGGCTACATCTGATATATTAATAATGATATTAATGGGAGAATTCATGAAGTGGGAGATAACTGAATATTAGCTTTCCACAAGAAATTAGCTCTTTCATTGTAGAGAATTATTGTTTGTAGGAATTTATTGTAAGACACTAAATTCTAGAATAATTAGTTAAAAAGATAAAAATCCCAGACCTAAGTTAGTATTTTCTCTTCTACCTTCATGGTGAGTATGATTTGGTTAAACATTTTCCATATAAATGTAATGCATGAGTTCTAAAAAGATAAAGTAATATATAGGCAGCAAAGAAATCATTATCTGAATAAATATCATCCTAAAGGAAAGATAGAAGTTATTTCCAAGGTGACATTGAATCTGATAAGAAACAAAATACAGGAAAATTTCTAATGTCTTATGAAGATGTAGCATTACTATAAATCTAAACTTGTTTTTTCCTTTAATCAATAATGTCAGCATAGGATTAGCATCAGCCTCTGAAATATGTAGGAAATGGAACTAGGACATGAGTTAGAGGCTGGGAAGATATTTTGTTAAGTACAAGACTGTGGCTAGAAGTAATTTCAATGGTATCACTTAATCCTAGTTGTGATGAAACCAAGGCTTTGCCTACACATGCCTCTCCCCTGATTCAACTATTTGACTAGGGAGTACTGGCTTTTCTCAGGTTCTCATTCTAGTTTCCTTCGAGTGTCAGATAGTATTAGTGGAAGACTCAGTTCTAGGTAATATTTTAGGAGGTTCCACGCTCAGGTATTTGATTTATTTTTAGTTATTTAACTAAGTTGAGAAATTATTTGACTATAAAGTGACAGTAAATTAAACTGCTATTTTTAAAAATACAGACCCGGTTAGAAAAGACTTAAATTCAAATGTTAGAGTAACTAAAAGTGATATTTAGAAGTTGAATATAATATTAAAGGGGAGAGAGAGAGAAATCCTGAGTTCCTTTGTTTAAGAAGATCAGTTTCAGAAGGTCATGAGTCAGTGAGAATAAAGGCAAAAATAAATAAATAAATAAATAAATAAATAAATAAATAAATAAAATAAAATAAAAAAATCTTAGTTTCTCTACTTCTCTACAAGCATTTCCCATTAAATTTTGCATGATTTCAAGTTTAAGTAGCTAAAAAAAAAAAAAAAAAAGGGTAGCTAGAACCCAATAATGAACATGATGAACAAAGTATTTCTATGAATCCATTTTGTATCTGAAATTACTAGCTGTGGGATGTATGAAGTAGCATAAAAAAATTTCTCTCTGGAGGAACTTATCCTGGAGTTGGAAAGACAGAAATAGAACTAGCAGTGTGACAAATGTCAAGTACATGGCCAGAGCTATGTTATGAAACCTGGTGGCAGACATGCTCCTGTTCACCCCAAAGGTCAAGTAAAGCTTTCAGGGAAAAGGAGTACTTGTACAGAGTTTGGATTTCAATGGAATAAAGGAGGAAAAAAGGCATTCTAGGAAACAGGAATAATATATATAAAGTGATAAGTAAGGTTAATAAATAAAAATATGGATGAAAGTGGGTGAGAAAAAGTACAAAGTTGAAGAGATGCATCTATATTCCTCATTTTCTGTGCAGTCAGCAGTAGTGTAGTATACTGAAAAGAGGCACTGGCTGAGAGGGGGACCTGGTTCCATTGCCCCTTTTATTGTGACTGTCTCATCAAGGAGCTGCTGACACACCAGAACTGTTCTCTGATGTACATCAGCACTGCAATTTGAGACAATTTTCTTAAACACTTTGGACTTCAGTTTTTCAATATGTAAAATAATAATGTTGGACTAATATGTTTTTAATGTCTATAAGTCCATTTAGGTCTTATGAATACAAATTGGATAATATATATTTGTGTCATTTCACTGAAGTAGAGTAAAAAGGTAACATATAACCCAAAAAATTGTTTTATAAAAATAAAATGGATGAAAAGAATTATTAAGATTATTAACATGGTCTCTCTCTGCCTTTTTTTTTTTTTTTTTTTTTTAGATTTTCCCAATGGATTCTCTAACAAAATCAATCAATCAATTTGCCCTGGAATTTAGCAAAAAGCTAGCTGAATCTGCTGAGGGTAAAAATATTTTCTTTTCTCCTTGGGGCATCTCAACTTCCTTAGCCATGGTGTATTTGGGCACCAGATGTACCACAGCATCCCAAATAGCCCAGGTGAGTGGCAAAGCTCAGTCACCCTCTCTTGCCTTAAAACAAAATGTTTTATTTACCTTTTATCTTCATTTTTCTCCCAAATTCCAGATAGATCACATTTTATAACCATAGCCTCCAAAACAAAAGACACACTTTAAAAAGTTTTCTAGCCTAGCTGGCATGGTTCAGTGGTTGAGCATTGACCTAGGAGTCAGAAGATTAAAGTTCGATTTTTTGTCAGGGCATATGCCTGGGGTTGTGAGGCTTGGTTCCCAGTGCAGGGCATGCAGGAGGCACCTGATCAATGTTCTCTCTCTCTCTCTCTTTCTCTCCCTCTCTCCCTCTTCTTCTCTCCCTCTCTTCCTCTCTGAAATAAATAAAAATATATTTTTAAAAGTTTTATAGACCATAAAAAGAAGTCTGGGAAAGGAAGTTGATTTTCTAGGAAAACCATTTAAGAACCTGTGTTCTCTAGCAAAATCATACACAGAGATGATGAGTTTATCAAGTTTGGTTCAACACCAAGA